GCATTATGACATATTAACATAACATAGAAATAATGCTAATATATAGGTATTCTATTTTACAAAAATTATATACCAATTATTTTCTTTATTTTACATATCATATTACAAAACTTTTTGTTTTGGTCGAAAAGGGAATCGATGTTTTTTAAATTTGGTCGAAAAGTGAATCGGCCGAAAAGGGAAGGGTACGTTTTTGGTCGAAAACGGTCTCGCCCATATTAATATACATAATATGCACATAATTTAGGTCCGTCACGTCAGGGTGATGTCACCCTAGCACCCGGTACCTTTCAAAATGGTCTGATTGATTTGAAATTTTCAGGAGATTATGTAAYYATTTTGTAACCAAATGTAATCCAAAATTCGAGATCYCTGACTTAAGTGACTTAACTCGAATCCTGTTCGAAAAACCGATTCAAGTCTACCGGGTGCCAGCGAGACGTCACCCCAGCACCTCGGTACCCTTGATAATGATTTTTTTTATAATGTATGCCATAAATATACTACAATGAGTACAATGCCAAATATCATAAACGGGTAAAACCTAGATTGGAACAGGATAATAACATAATTAAAATAATTTTAAATACCTATTAATGATTATTAATATATTATTATATATTAATATATTAATATATAATAAAATCACTACTCACCAGCATCATATATATTTTTCATTTATGCTGATGAATATCGCGACAAAAATATAATACTTAAAGTTAATTATTTTTCAATGGTGCAAACTGCAATAGTGGGTTCACCGTTGAACATTATTATAGGTTATAGAGTATAATGTAAACTATACCATAATATACGCAAGTCTCAACGTATAGAATTTACATATACAACTTTGACCAAATAGCAAATTTAATCAAACTACAATATTTAAAAACATTACTTGTCTAATTAGGGATACTAGATAGGTGGTTATTCAGTTAGTTCAGGGGTTCTCAATAATAATTTATTAATTTTTTTGGTGGAAATCGGAAATACAACCTTTGGCGGAAAACGGCCATGGTGATAAAGGGCTAGGGTCCTTTTGGCGGAAAACGGAAACCCCCAGCTGACCACGTATTTAATTTTTCATGGGAACCCTATATTTGCGCTCTGCTGTTCTGTTTTTTCGTCTCCTGATGAACATTCTACAGAATGTTATTATGTCTGCATTAAAATTCAATTATACATGCTGTAATTATTTCCTATTTAGTATAATATGTATTTTTTCTTTTAAAAAGTGAATATTTAAAAAATATTATTCATTTTGTAACTAAATTATAAATATGAGATAAATGTTATTTTTTGATAACACCAAAAATCACC